TGGCGATTTGCGTTCAAATCCTGCAACAAATGCTTCACCACTTGAGTCGCGCGAAACAACTCGAAAGTTCGTTAGAAGATCCGCTCTCTCGTCGCGCGCAACAACTTTACGAACGAAACGGTAATTGATTTCGAAATCATTTCCGCTTTTAATCCGTTTTTCTCAGAACTAAAGCTCGTGAAGACAATCGCGATGTCCGTCACGTCACTCCTGCTCTCATTGGCCGCCATCTGGACGGCAGTCGCGGAGCGCGCGCTCCTTCTGGCGCTCTCTTCCGCGCTCTCTCTCCTATTGGTCGTATTGGCGCTCGTTTTGAACGCACTTCCGGTTCCTCTGGTCGTCGCTCTCGCTCTCAATTCGGGCGCTTCTCTCGCTCTGAGTCTCGCTCTGAGACGCCAACAGACGTCGGCTTCGCTTCGCTTCGAACCGGAAGTCGTTTTCAAACGAAACATTTAATAAAACGCTTTAATTAACGATATATTTGAAAATCAATTAATAAATTATGTTATGATTAATGAAAATATAGTTAAGATTTCGGTTATAATAATACAATAAATATTAAGGAATTGATAATAAAAATGATTTATTATTTGATTCGTTGTTTTTAATAAAGTTTTATTAATTTATAAAATCAATGATAACTCAAAAAAGGGTTGAAAACAGATTTTGAATGAATTTTATTCAAAGTTTTCCAACAATTTATAGCGCGTTTATACAAACGATAACTAAAGTTGAAATTCAAATATATGTGAAGTAATTGTTCAGCGAATCAGAGGTCGAAGTCAATGACCGCTCGCACGCTCTTCCCATCTCTCAGCAAATCAAACGCCTCGTTGATGGCGTCCAATGGGAAGCGATGAGTGATTAGTCCTTCAATCGGAAGCTCTCCTCTCGCGAACTCTTCTACCAATTGGACGACACTTCGGCGCGACTTCTCGTTCGCGAAATATCCGCCCAAAAGGCGCTGTCCGGCCAACAGATCGCTAACGGGGATCTCGAGCGAGTGTCCCGAAGGACCCAAACCCACGCACACCAGAGTTCCCCACGCCTTCAACGCCTTAAGACCCGTTCTCAAGGCCAAGATGTTTCCGACGCAATCAAACGCGTAGTCGACGCCTCCCTCCGCGCGCAACCACTCCTCCAACGGACGCTCTGTTGACGACAAGACAAGAGTCAAAGACGACGACAGAGACGACGAGAGAGACGACAAAAACCCAATTCTCGCGGATTCACGAACTCATGGCATCCGAACTCTTCGGCGAACTTCCGTTTCCCGGAATTCACGTCAATCCCTATCACTCTTCCGGCGCCCGCCAAACGACACGCGAGAGTAGTGGACAGTCCGATGGCTCCCAACCCCCAAACGGCACACGTGGCGCCCGCGTGAACGCCAGCCAATCGGCGAACGGTTCCGAATCCGGTGCCGACCGCGCAGCCAATAATACACGCCGTCTTCAAGTCGACGTCACGCGAGATCTAAAGGGGAGGAGTCTTAGAGTGACGTCATGTTTAGGTCTGTGAATACTTTGCAGATCTGACTCTCGCGCAGAACCGCGTATTCGCCGAAAGTATTCGTTCCGCAGAGCGACAGAAGCGGTCGGCCGTCAATGCGCAGACGCGTCGAGCCGTCGCGCGCGCGCAGCAGAGTCGCGAAGTTGGCGTCTGCGCACTGATTGGTCCGCGGATTGGCACAGAGGGCGCAGCGGTCGCAGTTCGGGATGAAGAGAGGGATCACGTGATCGCCAACTGACACGCCCTTCACTCCCGCGCCCACCGACTCGACAATGGCAGAGCCCTCGTGACCCAAAACGACCGGAAGTCCGTCGAAGTCGAGCTTCAGATCCGTTTCCTGATTCCACAGGAAGTGCGCGTCAGAAGCGCAAACTCCGGCCGCGACGTTGCGAACGCGCACTTCGCCCGCTTCCGGCGGATCCACGGTTATGGTCTGCGAGGGGAACGGGTGGTCAGAGAGGAGGACAGTATTGGCGCCAAAGACGGACCTCAATGGAGAGCGGCGTTCCCTCTTTCCAGAGAACGGCTGCGCGACAAGAGATGACCTGAAGAGA